GAAAAAACATGTTATTTAACTAAAAAACAAAATTGTCCAAGAACTTGATCCCAAGATAAAAATGATAATTTAATGATTTAGACACAATAAACACATTTTCATGGGTTGTATTGACAGAAAAAATGTGTTTAATAATTGCCTCAACTTAATATTGTGTGTAAATTAAACTCAGATTTCTGCGTTGGTTGTCTTAAAACTATAAATTCGAGTTGAGCTAACTTAATAAAAACACTTTTTTTTTCTTTCAGGATTTAAAGTCCCAACACTGGAGCAGCTTTATTTATTTATTTATTTATTTATTTTAATTCTTCAACCTTAAAACTGTTCGGCTGAAGTGCAGGCAGAGTTCATATCACAGGGAGGAGACGAGTAAAGAGACAGATTAGAGATGTAAGTAGTAAAATATCTATAATGTACATCCACTATGTGTCTCCAGTGTTGTTAGCAGCTGTCAGAAGAAAGAACTCAAAGAACAAATCAAAGCAATTCAATCCTTATCTCTTTCTGTTCTGTCGTCAGAGGATTTAAAATAGCTCTGAACTGTAGAAAGTTGTTATCTGATAGCAGTAAAAATAGAAACTCGGTCAGTGGGAGAACTGGTGTGACTCTGGAGTGTGTTTTAAATACTGTCACCGTGGCAACGGCTGGACCAATGAGAGCGCAGGAAGCTGCATGAGAAGGCGGGTTTTGGTTTCCAGACGTCAACAAAAGCACATGGCCCAACAGGAAGTTATGCAACAGAGTGGAAGGACTGAATCTGTGTGAAGGGAAACTCTAACAATCTGGTTCAGCTTCTAGTTCAAAGTCTCATGAGTGTCTGTGATTGTTTTTTTGTGACTCGTTTCTGTGAACCAGGCTGCTGAGGGACGGTCGGCTGAATGAGTGTTTGTGCTGCGTTCACCTCTGATCCTGTGAGCTTTGACCGGCGGCATGATGCTGACATCAGTGTAGGAGACGGCAGGGTCCACTTTACCTGCAAAACACAAGCCCTCAGTGGGATTTAAGAGGCCAAAGACAGAACAGCAGAAACCAGTGCATGAAGTAGTTTGGAGTCACTTGTAGGAAGAAAAGCTTGGAGGATGAAGTTTTTATATCAGTTAGTTTAAACATGTTAGTTTGTTCAATACTGTAAAACTAGAAACTATAAAACAAGTGTTTTTGTTGTCATAAACTCTGAATATTTAAAATCTACACATTTAACTTGATCAGACACTTAAAACAAAAACAAACAGTGAAATTTGAGGCTGTTTGAACAATAAAATCTGAGGAACTATTAAAGATAAAAACCTGAAATCTTCACTCTTATTTCTCATCATGTCCCTGATTCAGAATCTGCAGGATGACACAAGTTGATCAGATAATCCCTGATCGTGGCTCCGCTGTAAAAATGTTTCTCCAACATTGCACATTCACTGTCATTGGTTTTATGAAAAATGGGTCCATATGATTAACAACAATACACATTTTCTTTATTATATTTGGGGAACCATTTAAAAAGATTCAGACATTTGTTGCACATGTTGTGCTGCGACTTGTCAAACCTGCTCAATCAGTTATTAAAGTTCAAAGATTTTCATTTTTGCGACCAAGTTTTTCACATTTCAAACTATTCTACATGTTTAGTTTTATTGTGACCTGCAGCTACATGCGGTTCAGAAAACGTCACCAGTGGACTTCTGAATGATCGGGTTTGTTCTTTAATCTGGGCCTTTTCATGACAGCTTCAATGTGTTCCTCATATTTCAACCCATCTGAAGGTGCTTCTTGGTCCGACGACTGCGAACCGAAAGCTTCGCGTCGGCCCGTTTCTAAAGAACAGAAACGCTCCAGTGACGTTGAAACTTATCGAGAAACGCTGCAGTCACAGGTGTGTAGGAGGTGAAAGTCCCAGTTCTCCCAGTTCTTTTCAACGGACGTATTCATGCAGAGCTTTTAGAAAACAGTCTGTTCATTGTGAGGCTCAGAACAAAACTTTTAACAAAGACACATGACGTTCTGTCTCGTCTGGAGTCTGACCTGAATGTCAAAGACCTCCAAACAGGATCAGAGACATTCCACAGACTGTCCTTTGTTTAACAGAAACCAACATCGACTGCTTCAAGTCACAGGAAGTTTGATTCAACTGCAAAAAAGATGAGTAAATATCTGTATTTTTAGGCAACATTTGACAGAAAAATTACACAATTTTGCTCTTATTCAACAAAAAAATCATCATTTTAAAGATATTTGCTATTATTTGAAAAAGAAAAAAAAGGTATATAAGGATTAAAAGAAAGGAAATAAATTAATTTACTTACTAACTGTAAAAAAAAGAAAAAAAAAAGAAAAATCAGCATTTTTACAAATATTAATATTTTCTTATTTTACATTTTGTGACAATGGAATTATACTTTTTTAAAAATGTAATTATTAGATAAAACCTTGAAGTTGCAGACATTATTTAGGTGGGTTGCATATATACATAATAATGTCACATGAATTTAATAATGTGATTTTATTCTCTTTTACCCTCATTTATTTATTTACTTGTTTATGAATATTATTTGTTTATTATTCGTAGTGCTGTAGTTATTGTTACTATTAATATTACTGTTGTTTTAATGGTTTTATCCTCTATTTTATTTTCATTCTACTTGTTATTTTTGCTTTTATTTTTATTTAATGAGGCATTTTTGGCACTTCTGTTATTATATTCGTATCCACGAGTGCTTCTTGTGTTGGTTTAGGTTGTAAATCTTTCACCATGTTTCATGTTTTTTGCTTTTCTGGTCTTTTTTTTTTCTTTCTGCTAATTTTTCAGTCATTATTACTGATAATTAAACCTCAAATATTTTACAATATATGAATTTGTTTAGTTAAAATTAAATTTCAGATTAATTTAGCTTCATGGAATTGGCTTGATAACTTTGCTTTTCTTCACCTTGAGTTCAGGATTTCAACCTTCCTTCATTATCGCTCCAGACGGTTAAAACTGGAAACTAAAACATGTTATTGATTGTAGAGGACCAGCTGATTGGCCAAACTCAGCGTGGTTCGAACGTGATTTTGTTAGAAGTCGTCGTAACTCAAAAAGATGGATGCAGACTGGTGGGTTGCTTGATTGTTGTTTGTGAGTGAACCACAATAAACTTTCACTTTAGTCAAATGTCACATTTTATTGATGTGAAACCAGTCTGACCTTTGTGTTGTCTCCAGAGGCAGAGCAGCATCAGCAAGATCAGGAAGAGGAAGACGCCTACCACAGGAAGCAGAAGTAGTTCGAGGCGGTAGTCAGGCGATGGGGGATCGTCTGCTTCTAAACAAGAAAATACCACAAGTTGGCCTAAATGTAAACGATGAATCTGAACAGCTGCTCTGTGCTCTAATAATCCTTTATAATAGATGTGCTTTGTGCAGAGGAAGACGTCAGAAGAACCTGATCAATCAAACATTGAATAGTGTTTGAATCACTTATTCGTAGCCTGAAAGTGTGATGGCATTTTATTTATTTCTCGATGGGCACCTTCAAACTCTTTGGTTTGTTGTGGACACGTTTCACACGTCTCGGTTTCGTAGCCGTTCATCCGTCCTCCGTCTTTCTCGGTCGTTCACCATTTTGAAAACGTGGGTTCATGTAAAAACCTCGAAAAAAATGAATCAATGCGTGAAAGCCAGAAGTCGGCCGGAGATGATTAGCTGCAAGTTAATGTCGGGTTTATTTAATTTCTGCTCCACAGAAGAGAAATAAACTGTTATTGACGTACAAATCAGTCTTTTGAAAAACCTTCAAGAGCTCTTTGTTTGACGAATGAAAGAGACGCGTTGTTTGTTCATGAGGCGTGCTACTGAAACCCGAGTCGGAGGTGGCATCGAAAAATACTGTGTGGAATCTCTAACTGTGGTTTTGACTGCTCAGAATGTAATTATAAGAAGTCTGACTGGTCTCGTCGTAGTGTAACAGCGACGAGTCAAAGCGATGTTGTTGGTGTGTATACTTTTAATTCCAGGGAGTCAAACTCGGCCAATGAATGTTCAATTTTCAGGACCAGGAAGTATCTGATAAGTGGCGTCTACAGCTTTTATTCTGATCAGTTCCTGAGGTTTGCAAAGGGAGCATCATGCTAATTCCATGCTAACGTGCTGTTTTGTTGTGATCACTTAGAGGTGAAAGAGGGTTAATTTCTGGTCACTTTTTACCCAAACGTCCAGTCACAGTGAAGGAAGGCTCAGGGCCGATACCGACCACCTGTCTGGCTCTTCAACCACAAAATCTCACGAACCCACGTAGTTTCAGCTTTTCCCTTATCCAGGGCAGGAAGTCTATACCTTGTACCAACACTGACAACACAAACTGTGCCTGAATTTAGCAACACGTTAGACGTTGCTTCTAAAGTGCTTTCACGATAGCGTCTTCCATTTTCAGCCGGGCAAAACTTTGGTGGTTACATCCCCTCGAAGAGAAACTTCAAGAAAGGTTGGGGAGCCAATAAGACATGTACTAGCATTCAATTAGCCTCGAATCCGTCCAAATTCACGGAGCTACGAAAACCAAGAACTTTGTGAAGATGCACGCATTCAGATCCTAAATATGTCGACATCCTCATGACTCATATTTTTGATTAAATAAGCAAAAAAGACGAAGTTTGTGCATAAACTGTACTCAGTTCAACAAATATAAACTCAGCCAATTTGCTCCTTTTTGGAAAAAAAGCTAAACTTTGACTGAACTGTTTAACTTTGGCCAGAAAACGCTGCTGCTAGAAAACGCTCCTTAAAGCTGCAGCTCACCTCTGACAAGCAGCCAGCTGCTCGGTGAGTCTCCACCTCCGGACATGTTGCACCTGTAGAGTCCTTCATCAGACTTGGAAACATTTGTGATGGTGAAGTTTCCCGTAGAGCTGCTCCCAATCAGAAGCTCGTCTTTGTAGAAATCAGCCGTCAGACTGGAGGACGAGCTCGTCTTGTGTCTGCAGCGAAGAGTCACAGCTTCTCCCTCCATCACTGGACGGGCTGGACTCTCCAGAATCACAGAATCAGCTGGAAGACACACAAGTTCTGTCAGCCTGGTGCCGTTTGCACTCTTCCTGGTTTGAGTGATAAATGTGTCAAAAGTGCTTTTCACACCTCCCCATATCACACGAGATTGCTTTGCAGGTGTAAAAGTCGTGTTTGAGGCGAGCGGCGACGTATGAAACACTGACGGACAACTTCAAAGGCTGAGAAGCGTTTGTAGCCGACTTCAGCTGATGGTGCACATTCTCACACCTTTACAGCGCTGCACCAACACAGCTGAGCCAAGCATGAAATCAAAGACGCTGGATTCTGTCCAGCCTCTGCACTGCAGACAAATCGAGTAAAAGGACCCGAAAATCCAAGAAAAAGTGTGCAGAGAGCCGTACTTTTGACACCAGCTGAATAACTGGCTGGCAGCATCAACTGAAATGAGTCATTTTCATGTTTAAATGCAAACCGCAGAGTGTTAACAGCCACACTATTTGTGGCGCTTTCACAACATCCTGCTTTAACACTCTCAGCTGGGCCACACATAGTTCACAGGAAGATTTAACTGAATTATTTGATCTACAGTTAGAAGTTTGTCTGAACAAACCTGTCACAGTGATGCTGACGGTGTCGCTGCACTCCCCGGCTCCAGACTCACACCAGTAAACTCCACTGTCTGATGGGAAAAGGTCGTCGATTACGCAGCCAAATTCAGGTATTTCTGTCCCGTATGTGGGACACTTTTGGTTTACGTTTATGGATGTGTTCCTCATCACCGTCCACCCAGAAGAGCTTCCCTGCTGTTCACAGCTCAGAGAGATGGACTCCAACTGGAAGAACTGGGATCTGTCCGGAAGAACCGTCAGAGACGCTGCAAGAAAACGAGAAGTTCATTTTTTGTTATGAATGCACTTGCAGAAAGGAATGACCAGGAACTTTTGGCTGATGTGCAGAAGCTCAGCAAGTCTTCTACAGATTTTGTCGTTGTATTGATTGGAAACAAAAGTCCGTCTGTTTCAGGCTGCTGTGAAGTTATTCTGTTGAGTTTATATTCCACTTGTCTGAAGCATCAAAAGCTAGCAGCAGCTGCAGGGAGCTACTCCTTACAGGACAGCAGATACACTCAAACCATCACAAGCTGCCTGCGATCAAGGAGCAAACCAACATGTTCATGACAAAGTTGCATCACCCAGATAACAAGTTCGGCCTCGTCTTGGCGTTGCACGATAAGAATCTGATCGTGACGCAGAACAGACTGCTCCTGCAGTGAACTGGAGGATTTACATTTCGTTTTTTGCATATGTACTCAACTTAACCTGCAGCAAGTATGTTCAATATCATCAAGTATCGTCAGAACAGAGGAAACCGCCGAGACTGCTAAATACGATGACCGACGGTTGCTGGTGTGTCGTGGCGTCAGAACTGAGAAACAACCTAAAGCTGAACATTTTTAAACCGGCCAAGGTGTCAAAGCAGCGTCCTGCAGAAACACCCTCGTACTCACCCACCACGGCGCACAGCGCTGCTATCTCCATGCTGCTGATGCACAGGCTGACTGAGCGGCTGGTGAACTGGGGGGCTGCATCACATCTACATTCTGAGTGTGTCACTGAGGCCACAGCTTCCTGCTCCAGGTACAAACACATGACGAGTTTGTTTGTGTAGCGTTTCTACAGGGAGGGTTTTCAACACCTCAAATGTCAGAAGACTCTGGCCTCCTTGAACTTCCTTTGTTTAGTTTTTTAAAAAATTCTTATTATGAATAGAACGCATGATTCTTCCTGTTCACATGAAGCCTTTACGCATTTTGAAGTGTGCAACTATTCATAGTCACCAGTGGCTGAAACACGAGTTTGGTCCAAGTTAAGGGTTCAAACTACCAGAATGTGGCATCGAACCTGATGAAAGAGTCTTCTGAGTCTAAGGGGGGAAAAAAAAGGCTCGTATAGTTTAGTTAAGGCAACAAGAACATGTCTGTAGATGTTTACGTTCTTCATAAACTGATCTGGGTTTCCACAGGATCTGAAGAGTATTTTAAAAACGTTTACTCCATCTCAAGTTAAGGTTTTAAAAGTGTTTCATGTTCTTAAACTTTTTTTTATTCTCCTTTCATAAAATCAAATAGCTGCACAACATAATCTTTGTAACTGCTGTTTTGGTGTCACTTAGCTGTCACTGTTAACGTCAACGTGTTCCTTTACGCTCTTTATCGTTGAGTTTGAGTCAGACAGGAAATGCAAGCTACATGTCCAACACCTCGCTACTAGCAAGCTAGCGTTAGCTTGTCACCTCAAAATAGACAAATTTCATTTTAACCCTGAGACCCTTTTCTGCCATCTGAGGGTCTCAGCTTCATGTTGTCCTGAGAAATGAGGGTCAAATGGTCAGTACCCTTGTTTACTGTGGTTCCACAAGAAGATGGAGGAAACCTGTATTCTCGACATACATGCATTGCTGTATTGTCGACCAGCTGTAGTACCTGGTTGTTCCACCAGGTGGAGCCTCTTACTGTTTAATGCTGTAGAGACCAGAGGAGGTGGTCACTTGGACTACAGGCAGTTCATGATGGTGAGCAGAGAGGATTGTGGGGGTTTAGCGAGCAACAGGCACCATGATAAAGACTTCTTTGACCTCCGGCCACAGACCACGTCTCCTGAATGATGTTTCTTATCACAACTTCAGCTCTCTCACACTGACACATACATGACAGTGGATGCAAACAAATTAACTGGCTTAGACTGGTGCCAGTATGATCAATTCAAATGCTATGATTGTCCCTGATCTTGAAACTTGAGGTCGACTCAGGACATTGGTCCTTATAAATGAACCCTGGCAAGAAAGACAGGATGGATCAGGATCCGACAGAAGTGATTCTGGTAGATCAATCGTAGCAGCTGGACTAGCTTGAGTTCCTTGAAGACGTTCCACCTCTCATCCAAGAGGTGCTCCCCCTGCTAGGTGACCTAGTCATAATAGACCCTAACGAACCCCTTTGTGGCAAGGGGAGCACGAACAACCTACATAATGAAGGGGAGGAGCAACAAACCCCCAAATGAAACCGAAGCTCAGGTGTTAATGGCTCCTTCAGATATCAGTATCTGGAACTCCCCACTAGTCAGTCAGAACTGATGAAGCCTCTTGGACGAGAGGTGGAACGTCTTCAAGGAACTCAAGCAAGTCCAGCTGCTACGATTCATCCACCAGAATAACCACAACCAGACATCCAAACAGAAGGTCAAACTGTGAGCTTTTCTTCACACAGAGTCGCCGTTTATCAGCTGCAGTTGCATTTAATTAAAGAAAATCAGAAACTGCACAGATTCCTCTGAATGTGGAAAACAACAAAAACAAAAGATTGTTCTATTTGTAAAACAACAACAAAAAAAAACATTAGTATAGCACCAAACAGTCTCTGTTTGAAATCATATCTTCTTTCTGTTTCTACATTGTTGTTATTGAGTCAGAGCTTTAGTTACAGGACTGTTGTTCTCACTTTGACCAGCAGGGGGTTTTTGAACAATCACTCAGTGGGCATGAAGCTTTCTGTCACGTGAGATCTTTATCAGGGGGAAACTGTGTTCATTTTCACTTCTGGTTATACATTGAATATAAAAAGGGGGTTGTCCAGACTGGCTGAGACTTGACTTCAGTGTCTATTGCAGCTTGTTGGCACAGTTCTGTTGATGACTCATCAGCTGATAGAGGAATTATGTATTCATCATACACCACAAAACAGAAACATTACTAACCACAAACCTTATCGATCAGACTGGGAGCCCTCATTTGACTGCAGCATGACTGTAAAAGCAGAACTCATAAAAACAAACATGTCAGCACATGTTCTGTCTGACTGGTCAGGTGAAGTCCAGTGTCTGCAGAGATGATTTAGAACCTGGTTTGAGTTCAGCGCATCAACAACTCTTCTCAGAACTCTCCAGGGTTTGTACCGTGATGCACCTCCCAGAACAGAAGAACACAGTTTCACAGATTCTTGTTCTTTTAACGGGTCGACCGAAGACCATCTTCATCTCATCTTCAGTCTAGCTGCTGATTGTGCTCTCAGAAATGAAAATGGTTCCTCAGAAGGTTCCCTGGTTCTTCGAGGTGCCCTCACCAATTAAAGAACCTCCTCTCCTGTGGTTCTTTAAAGCACTCAAGGTTCTTCGTTCATCATACTGGAGCTATCTGGAGGTTGATTGTTCTCTCAAGTAGTCGACTGTCCATCAGTTTCCCAAACAACCGTCCAGAACCCAAACTATGAAACATGTTCTAAAGGAAGGAACCCAGAAATGCTGCAAATTCCTACATTTAACAGTTCATCCATTAACGTGTCTGTTTCTTGATTATTTGTTTGGAACCACACGTTAGCTGAAGGTTTTCAGGTTCTATGTTCCCCCCTCACAGGGACTGATTTGGTGTTAAATGACATTTTGAAGAAAAATATAAAATAGAAATCTATCTTATCAACAATATCAAAAAAGGAAGAAGGAAAAAATGGTGTCAAATACGTATAGTTTTTTACAAACAATTGTCGGATAATTCCTTTGACATAAAGAGAAAGTGGGAATTAGAGGCGAACATCATTATTGAAGATGAGGAATGGAACAAGACATGTGAACATGGCCATAAAGTCACTAACAGTCCCAGATGGAAAGAATTTGATTGGAAGGTTATGATAAGATTCTTTACTCCCTCTATCACATTCAGTTTTGATAAAAACAAATCAAATCTATGTTGGAGAAACTCTAAATATATTGGAGATGATTTTGGGACTGCCCCCATTTTGGTGTGGGGTTCTGGGTGAAATCCAGATCATGTTCTAGGGTATTTTTTCTTTTCAGAGGTGATTCACTGTATAACAGGGGGTGTCCTCCAGGCAGGATCTATGCAAAACATATATTAAATTGATACAAATTCTACAATTAGTGGCAAGAAAAATGATGAAGTCTTGGCTCAAAGTCCAACCCCCTACACTTGAGCAACAGCAAGAGGGTCTGAAAAAAACATAATTCATGGAGACAATTACAGCTGAGCTTCACCTGGTCAGTTCAGTGATCTTTGGGCTTTGGTAATTAATCACTTTGGCTGGATTAAGTAAAATGATAAGTGTGTGCTTGTGAAGGAAGGTCATTTGCATTTTTGTTGTTCCACTGTTCCTTTTGTTATTTTGTGGGATGTTTAGATTGAAGATTGAAGATCTGTATTGGGATGCCTTTAATTGTGCTGCAGTGCCGAGACGCCTTTGTTTATGTTATATTTTGTTCTTATTTGTTTAAAAGAAACAGAGAAGTGTAAATTATGATGCGCGTTTTCTTAAATAAAATGTTAAAATCAGAAAAACCTGACTGAAGTTGGGCTGCAAGGTGGTGCAGTTGGTAGAACTGTTGCCTCGCAGCAAGAAGGTCGCTGGTTCACGTCCCGGTGGGGGCACCAGGAGTCTCCATGTTCTCCCCGTGCAGCGTGGGTTCTCTCTGGGTTCTCCGGCTTCCTTCAGTATCGGCTTGTAAATGATTAATTCCTTTGTTCCCTCTGGCTGCTGCTGGTGTTTCCTTATTGCAGTTATTTGTGGAAGTTTTTACTGACTTCTTATTTATCTGTAACGTAAAGTCTGTGGGGAGACTGGAGCTGCAGGTTTTGTTTTCGTTCTGTAAAGACGCTTTGTGTTGTATCAAAGGCTCTTGAATGATTGATTGTGATGGAAATTTACCCAACAGCCCAGTTTTAATGTTTGTCTCTTTGGTTATTTCCAGAAGTAAAATCTTGGCCAGAAGCCACACGAACAATAAACACAGACTCACTGTTGGCCTTGAAAGACTTAAAAATACAAAATACTCATCATATATGGAGAAATACATAATTATGGATGGAAAAATTAACAACAACAGATTTTAAACAGTAAAAACAGTTGGAGAAACTGAACCGGGACAACAGGAAACTATTATATTCTCCACAATCTGATGAGTGAAAGGACAGATTTATAATAAAACTCTGCTATAGTCATGCTTACATGAAGGAGAAAACAAGAAATAATACAGTTACAGGTGCAGTTATAATTGAATGAGTGTTTCATTATAAAATAGTCGTAATTAACTCTAAACTAAAGTATAATCCTCTAATGAAGGAAACAATGTTAAACAGTGTAATATGATTAAACATCTGAGCTCATACCTTATCAGCTCACTGACACAGAACAGTCTAGAAAACTCTCCTACACACTCTTGTTTTTTGTCACAGTGAACTATAGAAAATGTCAAACTCATGACCACATCAGGCTGCTTACCAGCTGATTTCAAAACAAATATCATCTCAATCATATGATCATTGAGAAATAAAACACGTTTTCTGTGTAATTCTGTTTTTGAGGAGCCAAAGAACATTTAAGAAGAACAAACTGATTTATTAAAAGAACAAATCCTGAGAAGTCACAGACAAGAAATCACATTTAACGTTCAGTTTATTGCATTTATCAATTCAACCCTCATGACAACAGTTTCATAACAGCAGTCATTCTTTTCTGCTGCTTTATTCTTCGTTTTCTTTGTTGATTATGAATATTTAATTTGAAGGCGTTGCTTTGGACTCTGGGCTCTCGTGTGTCTCTCTGACCTTTTATCAGCTAAAATATGACTGAATTGATAGAAAATAATCAACATGATGTCAGTCATTAATGATCCACCCAGCACTACATCACATAGTTAGAAGTCATGTGATTACATCAGTAATGTGATTACATCAGTAATGTGATTACATCAGTCATGTGATTACATCAGTAATGACAGAGCAGATTTTTGTGCACCATGAACACAGAGACATTTGAAAACACTGTGACACTGCAACTTTATTCTTCTCTGGGTCTCCTGGGGGCTGGTTGGTTGTCGAAAGGTTTCCCAAACTTTCCTCTGATTGTTTTGGACCCGATGGTACTTTTAATATGACTGATGAACTGTCTTCCTTTCTGATTTAAAAACAGGGATTTACCGTGATTTTTGTAATTGAAAGTGAGACTTTTTTTCTTCTTTTTTTTTTTTTGATAGATAGATGTTTTATTTAGAATCCATTTTTTAACACAAATTTTATTTTATCGATGTAAAACTGGACTTAAATTACAAGAAAATTAACTTAATAAAGCAGAATGGAGAATCTCTCCATATAAACAATAACCGTTTCTTAGCAACCGCTGTGACGTAGAGAAACCCAGCCAATAATAATGTTCCAT